AACACTGTAGTCACAATGATTAATATACAAGATCCAGACTCCGGTGAAAATGGGAGAGTTCAGTGTTTAATAAGTGATAAAATCCCATTCATGCTAAAATCGACTTCAAATAATTTCTATAGTTTAGTGACAGACAGTGAGTTAGACAGAGAGAGAGCCTCTGAGTACAATATAACAGTGAGCTGCTCTGATGAGGGAGTGCCCTCTCTCTCCAGCAGCGTCACTCTCACCTTACAGATTTCTGATGTTAATGACAACGCACCTGTCTTTGAGAGGAGCTCATATGAGGCCTACATAGTAGAAAACAACACACCAGGTCTGTCTGTATTCACAGTTAAAGCCAGAGACGCAGACTGGAACCAGAATGCTCGTGTGTCTTACATCCTGGAGGACTCCTCTGTTAACGGAGTACCAGTCTCCTCCTATGTGTCTGTCAGTGCTGATAGTGGAGTCATACATGCAGTGCGTTCTTTTGACTATGAACAAATCAAAGATTTTCAGTTTCGTGTCAAAGCTCAGGATGGAGGCTCTCCTCCACTCAGTAGTAATGTGACCGTGAAGATACTGATCCAGGACCAGAACGATAACCCTCCTCAGGTTCTGTACCCAGTCCAGACTGGTGGCTCTGTGGTGGGTGAAATGGTGCCTCGTTCAGCAGATGTGGGCTATCTGGTCTCTAAAGTGGTGGCTGTTGATGTGGACTCTGGACAGAATGCCTGGCTCTCCTATAAACTCCAGAAAGTCCCAGACAGGGCTCTGTTTGAAGTTGGCTTACAGAATGGAGAAATCAGAACTATCCGCCAAGTGACTGATAAAGATCCTGTCAATCAAAAACTGACTGTTATAGTGGAGGACAACGGACAGCCCTCTCGTTCAGCTACAGTCATTGTTAACGTGGCGGTGGCTGACAGTTTCTCTGAAGTACTGTCTGAGTTCACTGACTTTAAACACGACAAGGAGTACAATGACAACCTGACTTTTTACTTAGTGTTGGCTCTGGCTGTAGTTTCCTTCCTCTTCATCACGTGTTTAGTTGTTATTATCTCAGTGAAGATCTACAGATGGAGACAGTCTCGAATCCTGTATCACTCTGGTCTGCCTGTGATTCCATATTATCCACCACGTTACTCTGATACAATGGGGACAGGGACTCTACCCCACGTTTACAACTACGAGGTGTGCAGAACAACTGACTCAAGAAGGAGTGACTGTAAATTTGGCAGAACTGGTAGTGAGAACATATTGATAATGGACCCCAGTTTAACTGGAACGCTGCAGCGGATCCAAAGTGAAAAGAGCATCCTGGATGAGCCAGACTCTCCTCTAGAGGTTAGATCTTCATGTTTATAAAATATTTGGTTTTGTTTCTATTTATGTGAATATCTGATTATTTATTTTTTTGGTAACCATAATTTGATTTTGATCTAGAATGTATATACAGTGTTTCTTTAAATGCTATACTTTCTGTTTACACTGCGATTTTATTGTTTGAGACATTTTATTTAGTTTGAAATAAGACATAGTATCTTGATGGACCAGACTCTTCTCTGTAGAATGACCATTAGATGATACGTTTGGCAGTATGATGTGTTACATTGTTCAGTACTCTTTTTATACCGCACGTAAAGATTTATAACAAAATATCGATCAGCACCATGGACAGCGACTGTGCGTTTGGATACGGTCCATTCGTTTCAACCACCGGGATGAGCTTTATGTCCATCGTATTTATATGTTATATATACATAAATATATTTAAAATATATTGTAATTACTGTATCGTTGCCCCATCTTTTTAATAGGCATTGTATGTTTAATGCCCACACAGAGAATCTGCTGTTATTCTATCCTAACGGACTCCTAGAGGTTAGGATTCCGTAGTTACTTGATGTTACAGTAAACATACATTCATATTTTCTTTTGTTTTTTTAAACATTTTTGTATATTTTGCCTTTGCTGTCTAATTAATTTAAGAAGATATTTGTTTTTGTTTCGTCGTTATCTTGAACCCGCCGTAATCCACAATACAGTGATAATATTAGATGCATTGGTTTTTAACGGTTGATGATTTCAGGACCCTGGACAGAGTCTATATCCACAGTATGTACCTTTTTATTAATAGTTCAACTGATTAACTCAATCATTGGTTGATTACTTATTCTAATTGGGTACCATCAACGCATAACTTTTATTGGATAGTTTTTAGCCTGTACTTGTCCTTGGGAAAAAAGACTTTTACCCGGTAGAGAAATTGTAACATGTTTGTATTACATGTTCATTTATTTTGCACACTTCAGTGCAATTCTAATAGATGAACTCTAAGCGCCGCTGTTGGCTAGTTTGTGCTGGAATCGCCGCAGACTCTTTGTACCTCCCATACTGCCTTTATTTTAGAGACAAAAAAAGACTGTGGCAAAACACGCACTGTGTGGTTTCATCCGCGGACATAGGACGCTGCGATCTTTTTTGGAATTATTCTTTAAGGTTAGCGTTCAAAACCAGGAGGTTTTATGTGCTAAATGACTTGGTGGACTAATTTGGAATAACGTCAGAGAGAACAATGAGACAACGTGCACTTCTGCTTTTGTCGATCCTCTCCCTAAGCTCGACGAACGGACAGGTCAGCTATTCCATTCCCGAGGAATTGCCCAGAGGTTCGCTGGTTGGAAACATGGCTAAAGATTTCGGTTTAGATGTCAAGAGACTTAAAACAGGCAAAGCTCGCATATTTACTCGAGACAGTGATGAATACATCGAGCTGAATAACGACAGAGGAGTCCTCCTCATCAAGAACAGAATAGACAGGGAAGGGCTTTGCGGACAAACGACGCCTTGCTCGCTGCATTTTCAGATTATTTTAGAGAATCCCATGGAATTTTACACCGTCACCGTTGAAATCGTGGATGTTAATGATAACCCGCCATCGTTTGAAAAAAATGATGTTAAAATTAAAATAAGTGAGTCCGCTAAAAGTGGAGCTAAATTCCTCTTAGATCGGGCCATAGATCCTGACGTGGGTTCAAACGGTCTGCAGACATACAGACTTGAACCTAAAGATAATTTCATTATTAAACTGCAGGATCAAGCAGATGGAACGAAACATGTTGAAATGGTTTTAGATAAACCACTCGATAGAGAAAAGCATGAGCAAATGTCTTTGATTCTGACAGCGGTGGATGGAGGAGAGCCACAGATGACAGGAACAATGCAGATTTTAATCACGGTTTTAGACGCTAATGACAATGCTCCTGTTTTTACACGACCAGTTTATAAAGAGGCAATAAAAGAAAATTCACCAGTGGGAACAATTGTACTTACAGTAACTGCAACAGATGAGGACTATGGAAATTATGGTAAAATAACATATGCAATTTCAAGTACATCAGACCAGGCCCGTGGTCTGTTTAAAATAGATGAAGAAAGTGGAGAAATTCGACTTAACGGAAATGTTGATTATGAAAAAACTCGATCATTTCAAATAAACGCAAGAGCAAGCGACGGCGGGGAATTATATGACACTTGTAAAGTTTTAATTGACATAATTGATACCAATGACAACAAACCTGTTATTCAGATAATGTCTATATCGAACGTGATATCAGAAGATGCCACAACCGGCACTGTTGTAACTATGATAAATACTCACGACAAAGACTCGGGAGAAAATGGGAAAGTGCAGTGTACCATTAGTAACAATGTACCTTTTGTTATTAGGTCTGAAGTCAATGATTTTTATAGCCTAATGACAGAGAGTGCATTAGACAGAGAAAACACCAACGAATATAATATAACAGTGAGCTGCTCTGATGAGGGAGTGCCCTCTCTCTCCAGCAGCGTCACTCTCACCTTACAGATTTCTGATGTTAATGACAACGCGCCTGTCTTTGAGAGGACCTCATATGAGGCCTACATAGTAGAAAACAACACACCAGGTCTGTCTGTATTCACAGTTAAAGCCAGAGACGCAGACTGGAACCAGAATGCTCGTGTGTCTTACATCCTGGAGGACTCCTCTGTTAACGGAGTACCAGTCTCCTCCTATGTGTCTGTCAGTGCTGATAGTGGAGTCATACATGCAGTGCGTTCTTTTGACTATGAACAAATCAAAGATTTTCAGTTTCGTGTCAAAGCTCAGGATGGAGGCTCTCCTCCACTCAGTAGTAATGTGACCGTGAAGAT